GTACCACTCCCCCCATCTACCCCAGCACCCCTCCCCATCCACCCGTCCCCTCCCCATCCTCACACATGTACCCCTCCCCCATCCTCCCCAGATCCTTACACATGTACCCCTCCCCCATCTACCCCAGCACCCCTCCCCATCCACCCCAGCACCCCTTGCCCAGCGCCTCAAGCACTCCCCCCAGCCCCCGTATGCAAGCACACACCCCTTTCCACATATATGACGCTCCCCTCAGCATTCTTTTAGTGCTCCCCCCATGCACTTGGCATCCCCGCCAGGCAGCTCTCCAGCGTAAGGCACCTGGCCGTGTGGCTGCCGTGCCCTGCTGGGCCTTGCTGCCCCTAGTGCTCCCCACGTTCTGCCTGGGCTGAGCAGGGCCCTGGCAGAGGAGTCCTCTGGCTGCTGATTGTGCAGCAGCTTTATAAATAAAAACCGTCTCACCCAAGAGTGTTGGTTCCTCTGGGCATTCTGTACCTGCACCCCCCCGCCCGACCCAGCTGCTCTGCAGCCTCGCCCACGTCCCCTGGCTCTGCCCAGTGCCCCTCACTCGCACTGAGGCTCCTTGCAGAGCTGGGACGCGGGAGTCCCTGGAGTCACTCGCCTGGAGCGGGGGCTCCGCACTCATTCACTTGCCTGCTGGAATCCATTGTGCGTCCCTCTGGCTGGGCCTGTTCCCCTGCATCTGACCTGTGGCCCGCTCACCTCCTGGGCTGCGCACAGAGCCTGGCTCCTCTGCTCACGGCTTTGCCATTGGCCCATTGGCCGTGTCACCCAACCACGTAGGCCATGGTGCGCAGCCGAGGCCCAGCAGGCACTCACGTCACTGCTACCCTGGGCTGCCAGGAACCGAAGAGCTTCCAGTTCCGGTCACGGCCCACACAGGCAAGTGAGATAAAACCAGAGACACACTCTTGTTGGAAGGGTGCAATGACACCTGCCTTTACTGTGCAGCTCGCAGACACGCCCACAGCAGCTCCTACAAACAGAGACGAAGCAGGCAGCTCTGTAGGCAGAGGCACAACTCCACCCACCTGGTTCTAGGCTGGCTCGCTGCAAACTGACACTGAGTAGAGTGCAGGCTTCCCTGCAGAGCCCCAGTCTGCCAACAGGTCCAGGAACACCGGCACATGCTCTCAAAGCGCTCGCTTGTGAGTCTAACCCCGTCCTCAATACACCACACTGCCAAGATGATGGCCCACGGCTGTGCTCAAAGCCTGCGCTGTCTTCTCTTGCCAGAGGCCCCTCAGCATCCCCAGCCCAGGCCATCAAGCTGCCTTCCCCCCTCCCCGCCCCCGGCAGCCAGGCCTTTCTGTCCCTGGCTGACTTCACAATAGCCCTGCTGCAGGTCATGTGAGGGGGGCATGCCCTGCAGCCCACCACTGGCCTCATGCACTTGGCCTAGGCACTACGATGTTCATCTGTGTCAAACACGGAGGTGAGGCCCCGTGCTGGCGTTGGCTGGGAGACGGTGCTGCATGTGCGGCTGTCCTCACTGGGAGGGTGAGGTGAGGTGAGGGGGCAGGACTCCGGTTAGCTCTGCAGGGCGGGGCCCGAGTTCTCCGCTGGGGTTCTCTCTTGGGCTTCCATAGCCCCTAAGGATCCACCCCAGCCTTGCAAGCCTGGCTGCAGGGGCCCAGCAGGGCACTGCTTGCCCTGGGCTAAGGGACAGCTCCCAGGTGCCAGCTCACCAAGAGGGCAGATGGCTGGGCCGCGCGGGCACACCATCGGCACTGGGGCATTCCCCACGCTCAGTCTGAGGCCACGGAGGGTTTGGCTGGTGAGCCCTGCGCTGGCTAGTGCTGCTGGGCACTGGGCGTCATGCTCTTGCCCCAGCATGGGGACGGGCCCAGCGAGGCGGGGGTAGCAGGCTGCAGATAGCTCCCACCTGCAGCATCATTTCCCCCGAGGCCCCGGCTGTGTGCCCAGCCCTGGGTCAGGCACTGCCTCGTCCCTTCCAGAGAACCAGCAGTTTCTGGCTAACACCTGCTGCTCTGTCCTCCTGCTGCTGCACTATCTGAGGAGTAAGGTGGGGCTCCGGAGAACAGGTGAGCACCCCTGACCCGCCAGGCCTGCGCCAGAGACCGACAGCGGGCTGGCAGCAAGGGCAGGCCCGCAGACCCAACCTAGCGAGCCAGAGCACACGTGCTGGGGAGGACAGGACAAGAGGGCGCGAGCTGGCACTGGGTAATGGCAGCGCATTGGAGCAGCGGCCCAGGAGGGAGCCCCACAGGAGCCACCAGGGGCGAGCTCTGTGCAAGACCCGGGGGCAGGGCACTGCCCACACGTATGATGTGAGCACAGTCATGTCAGATGCCAAGGGGTGGGCACCATGGTGGGCAGGACACATGCAGTGGCGCGTGGGGGAGCCATGTAGCAGAGGCACTCAGACACTATGGAGAGGAGGAGATGAATTCCCTGTCGACAACAGCAGAGTCTAATGGGTCCAGAGGGCTGTGGGTGAGGGGGTCAGGCAGCAGCCCACGCGATGCCCTCCCAAGCTAGCACTATCCACACATCTGACCGGCCAAGCAGGAGGGCGCTGGGCTCCAAGCCTGGGTGGCACAGAGCTAGAGCCAGGGGCACGAAGCACAAAGCCACTGAGGAGGCAGTTTTGATGAGGGGCTGACAGGTGCCACGGGCGCTGTGCGGAGGCTTGCTCAGCAGGGGCAGGCTGGGCAGGGCAAAGGCGCCAGGACTGACTGCGGGGGGTGGGCTAGAGCAGCAGAGATGTGAGGCCGGGGCCGCAGGTGAGGCAGGCAGGCTGGCGGCGAGGGGCAGAGCAGCGTGGCTGGACACCAGCTGGGAGTGGGAGGCAGGGGACCATTCTGCAGCATGCAGGGGCGGGGGAGTCTGGCGGGCGAAGTGCCCCAATGGGCTGCAGGGCAGCCGGGATTCCCTGCCCAGTAACCCATCGCCACAGCGTGGTGGGTGCGGGAGCGGGCCTAGCAGAGGGCTTGGCCCTGCCCAGCCGCACAGGACTGTGTTTGGAACGTGACTGCCCCAGCCAGCTCGGCGGCAGGCAGGTCCCGGTGTCAGCGCCGTGGGCTGTGCCATGGGGCAGGATGGGGGAAGCGCAGCTCATTCCCAGGACTTGTGGTGTCTTCCAGAAGCCATCGACCTGTGCGACGAACAGGGCACCCTCAAGCTGCTCTTCCTGGTCAAGCTCCCCAGCGACAGTGCCAGCAAGTTCCTCTCGCCCCGAGGAACCTATTACATGTGCCGGGTGGAGCGTGGAGCCCCAGGTGCCTTCCTGAGGGCGCCCTGCAACCCCCAGCAGCACAGTCCCTCCCCACTGAAGCCCTAGCACTCAGCTGGCCAGGGAGGGGGTGGGCAGAGGCTGGGGGGGGGGGGAGACAATTATCCCTTTAAAAGCTCCTCTGTGCAAAGCGAGGCCCAGTCTCTGCTGGGGGGGCTCCTCGTGCCATCTGCCCCACCCCCAAGGGCCCAGAGCAGGAATCTGATGCCCACAGCCAGACGTATTAGCGCTGAGCAGGCCTCACCCCACCCCCATCAGCCCAGGACTCCCTGCCCTGCCCTGCCAGCCCAGCCCCACGCCTGGGCAGAGCACAGACTGCCTCCGCTGCTGCCTGAGGGGCGAGGGGAGCAGGAAACATCAGCCCAGGGCACCTTCTCCACCCGTGACGTGACGCTGAGGATTTCTTCTTGCAGGGACCAAACAGGAAAACGCCTATCGCGCCTTCACCCCAGTCCTCAAGGACCCCGAGCCAGAGCTGCTGGGTAGGTGCCGGCTGCTCCCCGCCCCACGCTCAGGGTGGCACAAAGAGGCCAAGGCAAGGGAGTTGCAGAAAGGACTTGGCTGCACATGACCCCAGCTGTGGTGGGGCGTGGCAGGACGCAGCCTGGGAGGTGCAGGGCAGGGATGGAGGGAGGTGCAGCACTGGGGCATTATTGGTGGGGATGGCGCCACGTGGTGGCCGCTGCTGGCACAGGGTTATCAAAGCCCAGATGTCAGGGAAGGAGGCGCAGCCGCTAAAGGGTCTGGGCAGTGTGCAGGGCTCCCCGCAGCAGGCAGCTACCGAGATAAGTTACTGATGTCACAGCGATGAGGCCCTGTGCCTGGCCCCTTGCTGGGGCTCCCCCTTTGCCTTGGCAGATGCCCCTGCAGCAGCACAGGTCTCCACCAGGAAGCATCTCCCGATTTCAAGCCTCTACTTTGCTCGACAGCTTTGTGCCATTGCTTGGCTGCTCCCCGAGCCAGGCTGGGCCACGCTGGCATTGCTAAGTCAGCTCCTGGACGGGTCTGCCAGGAACTAATGCCGTGATGGGCTGGGACTCCAGGGGCTGGCCCCATCCCCGCTCCCCGCCATAGACCAGCTCAGATGGGGCAGGGTCATTCATGTTCAGCCAACAAGGAACAAGCCACACAGCGCAGCTCACCTGGGCCTGGCCCAGGCCTCGCTCCAGCTTCAGGGGGCAGGCCCTTGGCTCTACACCAAGTCCTTGGCGCAGGGTCTGTGGGCTGGTTCTGGCAGACTCGTCCCACGGCCAGGGGGTCCGAGCCAGCTGGGTTCGCTGCCAAGGTAAAAAGAGTCATCAAGCAAACCCAGCACCAGCAGGCCTGCACCCGCCCTGCCATGTGCCCAAGGCTCACAGCCCCTCTCCCGGGGCTCCCTCGGCCATGCCCGCTCCCAGCCCACCTGACTGGGAAGTGGGAACATTTCCAGAGCCCACACACAGCGCCATGCTAGGGGGACGCGGGGTCACGGCTCGGCCCCTGGCTCTGCAGCCCTTGCGGGGGAGGCCTTGCCCTCGTTCCTGTATGCATCCCACTAAAGGGGGCTAGGATCTTAACGAATCCCCCGGGAACTACGACGAGCAACAGTGCGGGCTCCAGGAACCCACCTGTGCACCCGCCTCCCACGGGCACATCAGGGAATTGCCAGCTCACAGCAGCCAGCTCCAGCCGCCTACCGGCTGGGCTACCATCACTTTGCTCCTCCAATGTCCTAGCGAGGGGGCTGGTGGCGGAGCTGCCCTGGCACAAGCCGCATGTCGTCAAGGCCAGAGTAGCCAGTGCTGCTGTGCCCGAGGGCGGCGCCAGGCCCTGCAGCGGAGGAACCAGCATTCTTAGCCCATTGATTTTTGCCAGGCCTATTATGACAAAGGTTTCCAGACTGGGCCTGCCCCTTCTCCTCCCATGAAACTAAAGCACCTTCTGGGCTTCAGCCCCCATTATTCACCCCAACACTGGGATCTGCACACATGCCCAAGCGGGGTCCTGGCCTCCAGCTGCATGCACCAAGCAAAGACTTTGGGGTACACGACCGTGAGCTCCCAGAACTGCCCACCCCAAACACCTGCGGTTTGGGGCCTGCCGCTAATTTACAGGCTGCATTTGAGAATCTGCCTCCACCTCACCCGGGCACCCTGCCCTAGCCACAGTCGCGCAGGCCAGTGCCAGCGCTGCAGGGGCCCGGGGAGGAAGGGGGCTCGCCTGGTCAGAGAGGCTCGGTCCTCTGCAGCCAGGCAGATGCCATTCCTGTGAGCCCCGCCCGCCTGCCCCTCTCCGCAGATGCCTTGCGCACTCAGTGCGAGTTTCTGGAAAAGAGCCGGCTCAAGCTGCTGAAGGCCCAGGATGGGAAGAAGATCCAGACCATGGAGTCGCTGATTTCCATTGTGCCCTCCCAGATCTCAGTGAGCTCCATGCCCCGGCCTGCTCTGCTGGCGGCCCACTCCCTGGTCCCGGCCAGGGGACTCGGTCCCCTCTGCTCCTGTCTCCGGGGGGGGGGGGGGCGGGCTCAGGGAGCGCCAGAAAGGAGGGAGGGTCCAGAAGCTCAGAGACTCTCAGAGTCAGGGTGGGGAACGAAAGCCAGGGACACTAGATTCCCTTCTCCCCTCCCATGCTCCTACCCAGAACGCCCCAGCCCAACAGCAGCGCCTCAGGCCTGCCCGGGGGGCCGGGATGGGCAGGACCCTGGAAGGGGGCAGTGCAGAGCATTCCCTATCCGGCTGCTTCTCTGGGAGGTGGGGGTTGGGTCAGATTAGGGCTCACGTAGGGTTTGGGGTCCACAGCTCAGTCAGGGCAGGTCAATCACCCCAGAAACTCTGCAAGCTGCTCTGGAAAGGTCAGTCCCAGGGAAGTTGACCAGTGTCCTCTTCTGCTGCACACCCCCCACCCACACGCTTCAGGAGGGGTTCAGCTCCCATCTAGCATCTCTCCCGTTCTGGCTGCAGAACGTCCTGCATCATGCACGGCAGTCAGGGCCTGCAGCCCTAGGGGCGGGGGGAAGGGAGGAATCAGAGAGCTAGCGGCAGCCCCAGCACTGCAGACAACACTACTTTCAAATTCCCTCCCCATAACCCTTCTCTGTCCAGCGAAAGCTCATGGGGAGGCCTAGTCCGGGAGCAGCTGGAGCTGCCGACGAAGAGGGTGCCCCGAGAAAAGCAGGACCATCCCCCAAAATCAAACCAGAGGCCAGCAAGAAGGAGAAACATCGCTGAGGCTGAAATAAAAGCGTGGTGGCACTTTCCTTGCAGAGGCTCTGGGATTCATTGAGATTCAGAGAGGCCCGGGGAATCCGGCTCAGTCGTGCCTGGCCGGCCAGGCCCAGGCCCTGGGAATCCAGCCCGGCCCACCAGGCTTGGCTGACCGCATCCCTGAGCGGAGGCCCAGCTAGTCACTTGCAAAGAGCTGCACCCTCCACGCACATGCAGGGAGGCCTTCAGGCAGCTCCAGGCTGTGCACTGGGTCCCAGGAGAGCCGCGGGCTGCACACCCATGGCCGAAGGGAGAGGGAGCAGCATTTCGCCACAATTTTCTGTCTGGCCCGTTTCACATTTTGAGACAATCCCTTATTTTTAAGGCTGACGTCACCAGGGAGCCTCCGGATTGCTGGTTCTTATGCCTCTGCACAGGCCAGAGGGGCCATTAGGCAGCAGCTCAGACCCTCCAAAGGAAGCAGCCAACCTGGGGGGGGGGTCACTGGGCCATACAGCCCGGTCCATATCATCTCTCGGACTTTCAGGCCAGAAGGGACCAGCGTGATCATCTAGTCTGACCTCCTGCACAGCGCAGGCCCCAGACCTCCCCCACCCACTCCTGTAATAGACCCCTAACCTCTGGCTGAGTCACTGACGTTGGAGTTAAAAGTTACAGACTCTGCCACTTACACCAGTTCAAACCAGCAAGTGGCCCGTGCCCCACACTGGAGTGGAAAGTACAACCCCCTCTCGAGTCTCTGGGGGGGAATGGTGATCAGTTAGACCCTGGGCATGTGGGTGAGACCCAGCAGCCAGGTACCTGGGAACGAATTCTCTGTTGTAACTCAGAGCCCTCCCCATCTAGTGTCCTCTGGCCATTAGAAATACTTGATAGCAGCCACAACTGGCCCTGCGCATCTCCTTCACTGTTCTCGTGCCTTCTGCACACAGGACCCCCCAGAGCTATGCAACGGGGCTCCTCGCCCGCACTGACGGACAGCAGGGCACAGCGGTATCGCCCCACAGCCAGCTGAAAATGCAGGGACTGTCTCCAATCATCACCATGACATCTTAGCAGACGAGGGGCTGACAGTCTGGCACCGTGTCTGCCTGATGAAGCATTGAGAGGGGCTGTTCCTTGCCAGCCAGGAGCAGCAGTACACAGAATGGAGTGCCTGACGCTAGTGGCTGACTAGCTGGGACTCCTACTGGCCCTCGACCCAGGGACTCCAGGGGTTTCTAGCAATACCTCTGCAGCGTTTCCCTGAGGTGGCTAACATGGGGAAGCTGGGACTTGCGGGCAGGAAACAGGAATCTCGGATGAGCTCCGCTCCCTTCTCCCACCATGAAACTAGGCAGGCAGGCAGCCAGATGCTCCCCAGCAGGGAGGTCCAGCCCCCAACCACTGCCCTTTCTGTCCAGCACTGAATGCCAGGCCATCTCACGCCCAGGCTGCTGGAAGGCAAGCCTGGGGTTGCCCATCGCCCAACAGGCAGGCACATCTGCTGAAGGCACTACCGCTCAGTTCACTGCAGGGAGTCCTCATCATTGACAGAGCTGCAGGGCCCATATCAATCAGGGGGCTGAGAAAAGGGAATGTGCAAAGATGAGGCATAGTCAGTGCCAGAGGTGAATCAAGCAGTGGGATTCCCCCGCAAGACCTGCCATAGCCCGGAGGGTGCCCCTAGTGCCCCCCCCCCCAGCCTTCAGGTCCCCCAGCCCAGGAAACATGGACAAGGGAAGGCAGGTAAGTGCATGGAGGGGTCTGCTCCCACTTCCCAGAGATGGAACCAGAGCCCAGGGCCACCAGAACCCTGCTTGTAAAGGTCACTGTCTCTCTGCTCCCCACCTTCCCCCATTCCTACCCTGTGGCTTCTCACACTTCCCCCAGAACCCCCACCTCCCACCCCAGGCTGCAGTACCTGGCCCGGGCAGCACAGATGGATGAGCATCCTCGGGAGAAATACAAGAAGGGGGCACTGAAAGATTAGCAGTGGCCACTGCCCCAGGAGGGAGGAACCAGGAGCAGGCAAGCGCCAGGGGCACCAGGGGATCAGCAAGTTAGACATGAGCCTGCCATGGGATACTGCTGCAAAAAAGGTCCACACAACACACAGCCCTCCTCCATCACACAGGGAGGGGACAGTGCTCAGCAACTGGTGCAACCACACCTAGTGCAATGGATCTGCAAAGAAGGGGCCACAACTCCCATCTGCCCCTCCCTACTGCCCAGCCCCTCCCCATGCCAGGTAAGGGGAAAGGGCCTTACCCAGGAGGTGCCAGGCTGTTTGGGAGTGAACTGCACAGCAGCAGGGAGCTGGAGAGAAGCTGCACATCGAACAGGCTGAGATTGTCAGGAGCAGGTTTGTGTGGGACTCATGGGGGAGCAGGGAGCCAGTGCAGAGGGGCCCCAATGAGAGATACTAATGGAGCCTGGCTTGGCAGCAGACAAATGCAAATTTGCTTGAATAGAGGCTGGACTGAGGAGGGCACCCCAGGCACTAGCCCTGAAGAGCACGGGACAGCCCCAGGGACCCTCACTAAGCCCCTGTGCCTAGGGGATCTGCAGCCTTTCCCCTTTCCTGCCAGCCCTAGGAAAAAACCTTTCCCTTCGCGACATGTCTGATGGTTACTGGAACCCACCAAGCACCAAAACTGCTTGCCTCTGAGAGCAGTACCCAGGCATGCTACTGGCTAGGCAGGCCATTCGTCCAGCATTATACTGGACCTTGAGAGGTTTGTCCCCCGTCCAGTACTGGGACAAACTGAACGTGGTTTTGTCCGGTATTGGACAGGGGATACTGGTCCGTCCCCTCTGGCTCTTAACCCCCCCTCTCCCCAGTGCAGTGTGACCTCACATGCACTGTCACACTGGCAGGGGTAGGCCCACGCTGTTCCTAGAAGTACCAGAATGTGTGAGTGGCCACCATACTACTGGCACGCTTGGGGGCTGGGGTACAGGGTATCCCCAATAGGCACACTAGAATAGGAGGGCACTTGTGGGCACCTCCTTCCCAGAAAGATAGTGACACGCTGGTGAGAGCTTAGACAAAAGCCACAGACACGTTTACGAGCCTGGAAGGAGCAATTTATGGGGCAAGAATTAAAACTGTCAAGTTCAGCGAAGCAACAGCCCAAGGGGCAGGAGAACAGTCTGCAAACATTGGAGAGGGCAGCTTTTCCCAGGCATCCCACGGGGCTGCAGCTAGCCAGCCGGGGATGGAATTCCAAGGGGAAAGCAGACTCCGTGACAGAGCCAACTTTCCGACAGCCAGGCTGGGAAATGATCTCCCAATACTAGAGTGGACAAACCACAGCAGCAAAGAGTCCTGTGGCACCGTATAGACTAAAGGCAGGGGACTGGACTCGATGACCTCTCGAGGTCCCTTCCAGTCCTAGAATCTATGAATCTATGAATAACATCTGCCCCTCCCTACTGGGTCACTCTGTGCACTAACATCTGTTAGTCTCTAAGGTGCCACAGGACTCTTTGCTGCTTTTACAGATCCAGACCAACACGGCTACCCCTCTGATACTTGAAACCACAGCAAACAGCCCTGCCCATGCATTGGCCTGGGGGTGGCAAGGATGAGCTCCAATGGCCTCCCCAGCTCCAGCTCCCCCACAGGTGCCCCTGGCAAGGAGGAGGGCTGTGGGGCCCATTTCACTTTCACAGCCCCCAGGTGAGAATGAGGATGTCAAGTGTCTCCATTTCCACAGAAACACGGGCCAAGGGGCGCCAGATTCTTGGCTATTCCCCTCAAGGAGCCGGAGCAGCCACTGGCCCAGGCCTGGCCCAGGCAGGAGTCCAGCCCCGCCGGCTGCATTGCTGCCAGGCTAAAGCCTAGTGAACACTAGGCCTTTTTCCTTAAAATCCCTCATTGTGACTTACCCCAGCGCAAGCGATGGCTAGAGCCTCACGCAGAGGAGGTGCCAGCAGCCCCTGGCGCTCGAAGCAGGGTTAGATGGCCTGGCGGTTAAGGCACCAGCAGCCTGGGGGTCAGCGCGCTACTCCCGCCGCAACGGGCCCACGGGAAGCTAGGGCAGCTTCCCCATGGACAAGACTTTAGAAGAGGGGCTGGCCTGAGAAGGGCCAGTGGGGTTGGCTGAAGGGAGGGGGAGTATGTCAGTGTAGGGCTTTGATTGGCTGTTGCTATTCACTGGTCATAAGGTGCATTATCGGAGACCCGTCAGGTGCTTCCTGGGAGCCTCCTTCCTGCTGCAGAAAAGAGCAGGTGGCAGGTGGCAGGTCCCCTGGTTACATCAACCCACGCCAGCAAAGCTCTTCCTGGCTGGGATCCAGTTCTGCTTGGACCACCTCACTCAGCCTCCCCGAGACCCCATCAGTCTCTCTGAAAGCTCCGTTTCCATAGAGCAATTTCCTTCCTGACACCAAGGCTCAGCGCCATTACGTGCTGCTCCGGCAGCAGGGACCTACAAGGGTGGGAACAGAGTCGTGTCGGCAGCCGGCACAGCTGCCTGGGCAACAGGCCGGTCAGCACTTTGCGCTCTAAGTCAGCTCCGGGTGACCCATTGCCTCTCCCCAACAACGGGCTCTGAGAGCCAGAGTGCTCGGGTCCAGTCCCATAAAACCCCAACCAGGCAAGCCTCTCTCCCAACCAACCAGCTACCTGAACGTCTTCCCTGGCTCCAAGAACCGGGCACGTCCCCCCACTCCTCAGTTCTAGGAAGATGGCTCACTCTGCCCTCCAAGGTACTGCCCCACCCCCCAGGCCTGGGCCTTGGGCAGAAGCAGCTCCGGGATGGAGAATAACCTTCTAAAGGCCTGGCAGGGTTAATGGGGAATCTACCCATGCTGTGAACATCAGAGACAAGGCCAAGACCAGTAAGAGGCACTGTGTCATTGAGCCAGAACACCCCCCCATACAGCCTGAACTCCCCCCACCCACCCCATATGGCCTGAACACCGCCCAGCTACAAATATCTTACTGGTACAGCATACCCGACTGTACCCTGCACACGGGGTGTGTCTGCACTGCAGCTAGACACCTGCGGCTGGCCCACGCCAGCTGGCTCGGCCTGCGGGGCTGTTTCATGGCTGTGTAGACCTCTGGGCTTGGGCTGGAGCCTGGGCTCTAGGACCCTGGAAGGTGGGAGGGTCCCAGAGGTCAGGTTCCAGCCCAAGCCCAGACATCTACACAGCAATGAAACAGCCCTGCAGGCCAAGCCCAGTTCAGCACCTGCTGGGGGGTTTCTTTGCTATGCAGCATGACAGGGTGGTTCACCCACCACCAGGATAGCACCTCCTCCTGGTCACTCTGGGCAACAGTTTGTGGGGGCAACAGCCCTTCTCACCATTGCAAGCTGTCCTCCGCCTCTCTCTCTGGGTCTGCAGCCCCTTTCTTGCTCCATGAGCTGCTGCTGCCTATTTGTGACCTGGCCCTCCAGCTGGGTCACCCTGTGCAATTCCCCTTCTGGGTATCAAAGTCTTTCCTCACCAGCAGTCCGAGGCAGCCTTACCAATCAGTGCCTCATAGTGCCACTCCCTCAGTGGCTGGCAGGGGAGCCCAGGCCCCCCTCTACCCCAGGTTCTGCTCAGGGACCCTCTAGCCAGCATCCAAGGTCTGTTCCCTTCTACACCTCACTGCCTTTCCCTAAGCCAAGCCCTGCCCTACCTTCCTGGCTCTCCCCCACCCCGCTCTTGATTTGCCAGCTCAGATGCACCTCCCTTCTCCCAGGGAATGACTGCAGACTTTCCCAGCAGCCCCTTCTGCTAGCAGCTTCCTGTCCTTATAAATCCAGCCCAGCTGTTCCTAAACCAGCCGGGCTCTGTCCCTCAGGCAGGGGAGTGTTCACCCACCTGCCTCTCAGCCATGGCCTGTTTGGTTAATTGGCCCCCTCCGGGCAAGGGTGGGGTGAACACCCCATTGCTTGTAGACACACCCAAGGTGTTCAGGAGAGCAGAGACCGGAGCCTAGTGCAGCAGCCAGGTCTGGCAAGGACTCTGCTCTGAGGCAGCTCAACACCAGGCGGCAAGAGAGGTGCTGTCTGTCTGTGTTAGCACCGTGGCTCCTTTAGATAAGTGCATGAATGTGCAGGAGGTCAAACTAGGGCAGTGGTTCTCACCGAGGGGTACACGTACCCCTGGGGGTGTGCAGAGCTCTGCCAGGGGGATAGCAACTCACCTAGAGATTTGCCTACTTGTACAACAGGCGACATAAAAAGCACGAGGGAAGTCAGTACAAACTAACATTTCACACAGACAATGACTTGTTTATCCTGCTCTGCGCTATACACTGAAATGTAAGTACAAGCTTTATATCCCAATGGATGTATTTTATAACTATATGGTAAAAGTGAGAAATTCAGCAATCTTTCAGTAATACTGTGCTGTGACACCTTTGTATTCCTAGGTCTGATTTTATAAGCAAGTTGTTTTTAAATGAGGTGAAACTTGGGGTACGCAAGACAGCTCCGATTCCTGAAAGGGGCCCAGCAGTCTGGAAAGGTTGAGAGCCACTGGACTAGCTGATCACAATGGTCCCTTCTGATCTTACAGTCTGAGTCTAAAGACACTCCTTCGGTCACTATAGCACAGCTCCTCCGGATACCATGTGCAGTAACTGGGGCCTAGCCAGTGAGAGGAGCTAGTCCCCAAAGGTGCCACCCAGCACATCTCGCCTTTTTGCAAGAGTGTGGAACATGGGAAAGCACCAATGGACATCTCTGATTTACAGGACTCACTTCTCCTCCCCATCAGGCCTTCCAGCATGGACATCCCTGCGCCCCCAGAACAAATGTCAAGAAAACCACAGCTTCTTTTGGCTGCTGGGAGAATGAAATAAAAACCAAGCACCAATTGCAGCTGATCTGCTGACTCAGCCCAAGAGCTGCCGGGAGCCAATACTAGAGACAGGAGGAAGTCAGCTGTTACTCACCCCAGCCGGAGCCATGTCTGCAACACCACGAGCAGCAGTGCTGCACTTGCAGTGTTAGCCCGGGTTTCAGACTGACTGGGCATGGAGGAGCGGCAGTGGAGTCTCAGGACTGGAGGCTCCCTGGCGCTCCGTAATGGTGACAATGCACGTCCTGAGTGACAGCCCAGTAGGGAATGGAGCAGGGGTACAGAGGAGCTCACGGATGCCTTAGAGTCAGCCTCATCTCCAGGAGACAAGGTAAGGAATGAAGCAGGAGCACAGGGAGCAGGAGAGCACAGGTATTCTAGTGGAGTCCAGCAGAAGGCAACAAAAATGATTAGGGGTCTGGAGCACATGACTTATGAGGAGAGGCTGAGGGAACTGGGATTGTTTAGTCTGCAGAAGAGAAGAATGAGGGGGGATTTGATAGCTGCTTTCAACTACCTGAAAGGGGGTTCCAAAGAGGATGGATCTAGACTGTTCTCAGTGGTACCTGATGACAGAACAAGGAGTAATGGTCTCAAGTTGCAGTGGGGGAGGTTTAGGTTGGATATTAGGAAGAACTATTTCACCAGGAGGGTGGTGAAGCACTGGAATGGGTTCCCTAGGGAGGTGGTGGAATCTCCTCCCTTAAAGGTTTTTAAGGTCAGGCTTGACAAAGCCCTGTCTGGGATGATTTAGTTGGTGTTTGTCCTGCTTTGAGCAGGGGGTTGGACTAGATGACCTCCTGAGGTCCCTTCCAATGCTGATATTCTATGATTCTAGACCTGGGCCTGGGGCGGTGAGGCTGGTATCGAAACTGAGAGCGTTCCACGCTCGCTTTGTACTCAGATACGTGGCCCGGCAAGGGGATGCGCTGAGGAGAATCAGGCCTGCTGCAGGGGAACAGTAGCTCTCCCCGTTGGTGAGCTCCCAGCTGCTCCAGTCAACAGAGATCACGGTCTCTTCTTCTAATAGGCTGGGAGGAGGAAGAGGATCGGCTGTTGTTAACTGGTCAAGAACCAGCTGATCAGTAGCCAAGGTGCAGCTCAGGTGGCCTAGTTCACCCCCAGCTCTCAGCCAGCAGGAGGAGAGCGAACAGGAAGCACTTGGGATGTGGCTGCAGGCTGACGGCCACCCAGCCTGGTAGCAGCAAAGGGCCCCGAGGGCAGCAGCACAGTAGCTGTGCAGGAATGTCACGCTGCACCCACAGAATGAGGGCCATTAGCCACTGCTACGAGCGGTCAGGGATATCCCTGGTCCCAGAGCGACTACGGGACAAACAGGGCTAAATGGCCCAGTTGCACTACAAGCACAAAGAGAGCTGTAGTGATGGACTGTCCTGCCCGGAGAGCAGCTGCTCCCAAACCTGGCACGGGCAGGATTCACGTGTGTCTGTCCCAGGATAGTCAGGTGAACTAGCTTGGCTGGCATAGCAATGAGCGAAACACACCCAGACCGCATGTCACTGATAGAGCCGTCAGCCTAAAGGCAGCTATCACCTCCCGCCAGAGTCCCCATCCTGCCCTCTGCCTGCACAGGGAGCTGTGTGCTCTGTGAATGGCACCCTGGCCACCAGCTGCCTGGGAATGAGTTCCTGCTGCTGCTGCTGTGAAGGGACAAATTCCAGCACAGGGGGCAGGGGGCAAAACACGGACATGGACGTAGGGTCAATTCCCATCAAGGAGGACAGAAAACCCACAGAGGGAGCCAGGCAGGGTGGGGCTTGGGGGGCTCTTTGCTTCTCAAGTTGCTAGTCCTGAGGTGCAAGGAGCCGTGAGCCCTGGCATGCTGCATTCAGCCCTTCCTGCCCTGGCCTCACAAAAAGCCCAGGATCTGGTTTTCACGGCTGACTCTTGTGCCTGGCCCCTCCCCTTTCCACCCCAGGGAATGGTTCCACCAGCCTTCCGTCCCCTGAGAGGACACAGTCTCCCCACCCTGGGGGCACAAGTGTAAGGGTGAGTAGGGGATGCTCAGACAACACTGAATAACTCTACACTCCCCTGCACCTCGGCTTTCCTCTGTGCTGAAGCTCAGGCCAGAGTTCTGCCTGTTCAGAAAGCAGCACATACAGGTAAACCTCAGGGCTGTTGTATGCAAAGCCCAGAGAAATGGACGGTAACAATCCGGTGTCTATTTCAAAGAGAGCGCACCATAGGCTCTCTGAGTAAAACAAACACTTAATGCACACTAAGCACAGGGCAACTAGTAGAAAATACTGTACATAGTGTTTGAATACTATGAAGAACGTTTAAACAAAGGCTGTTCCACAGTACATCTACTGCTGTTCCTCCTGCAGGCGTTTCCCCTTTCGTTTCGGTCATAAGCGTTCAAAGACAAGGGTTCCACACCCCCTTTTCTGTACTTTAGCACACTTCTCTAGCACATTCCCCTTGAAGCTTTCCCGGAGACCGTGTTGTGTCCCTTGATTTGGGCCTTCCTCACACAGTGCGTCCTGCATTTGGGCCTTGGCAAGTTGAGGGGTATTGCTGTGACTGCTACACAGCTGTCTCCTTCCACCACACAGCTAACTGCATTTCAGTGTTTGGGGAAGATACCCCTGGATATAAAAAAAATCAACAATAAATATCTCTTTGGTATGGGGCTTAAATTTTCAGAATCCTTGACGACATTAACTAATGAGTCCTCAGTCTGTTGTGGAAGGAAGGGAAGAAATGTTATTGCCCCAATTTTACAGAGGAGAAACATGGTTTGTTTGTTTATTTACTGATGCCCTCCCAAGTCCTCTGACAGGTCCTAGACCTAGCGGGACACATCATGCCTGACCCCAGGAGTGTACAGTCTGAACTCGACAGACCACACAAGCTCACACACACCCATGGGGTCCAAGCGCAAAGCAAGACCATTTTTTCTTAGTTGTTTCTTCTTAGATGCCACGGACAAGGTGTGCTTAGTAATACAGCTTATTACTACTGACTAGTGTAAGGACTTGAGAAGACACCTGCCATATGAAGGAATGAACCTACTAGCCAGAGGCAGAAATGGAAAGAGGAGGCTAGGGTCTCCACTGGTGAGGGCTGGGGCAAGGTCCAGCTGAGAAGCCTAGCTCCTTGCCACCAGCTGCTGGGGGAAGGGCAGAAGCTAGTGGTCTTTCTACCCCAGTGCTTGGAGGTTCCATCTTTTAGATCAGCCTCTGCTAGTACAATGTTTCTCATTGTGGGGGCTGGGCCCACAGTTCATGGGGGCACAGAGCAGAGAAGATCCATATGGTGGGACGGCTATACACATCCAGCTACACCCTCCCTCCTACATTGCAAACCTGCTGCCACATCTGCAAGTAACTGCAAGGAAGCCACTCACCTTCCCCCGAGTACAGCCACTAATGCAGTAAGCTGTAACCACAGCCCACAGGGACCGGCTGCCAGCCCAGCCAGCAGCCTGCCAGCCCTAGCACCTCTTCTTTGCTCCCGCAGCTCTTAGCTCAGCCTTCGCGGGGTGGGAGCAGGGGGAGGGAATAAGAAGGTAAACGCCCAACCGAATAGTCAAGATGGGGGTGAGGAGAGTCTGCAAGAAAGACAAACAAGGAGAATAAAATTGACTGCCTGAAGAGAGAGAAACCAGAGAGAAAAGGGAGGAGAGGCCATGTCAGCTGTTCCTTGCATGGCACCAGGAGCTGGGCGCAGCACCCAGCCCTTCCCTGGGGCACCACCAAAGCCAGTCTGGAAGTTGCTGGGCTGGCAAGTGGCCTGATGATGCACAGCTCCTGCCTTGTCTGGCTGCTGTAGGGGAACAAGCGCTGGCCGTCCATCCAGGGCCGGCTCCAGGTTTTCTGCCGCCCCAAGCGGGAAAAAAAATAAATAAACGCGCCGTGGCAGCGCGATCGCGCCGCTCCTTTTCAGCAGCAATTCAGCGGCAGGTCCTTCGCTCTGGGAGGGACTGAGGGACCCACCGCCGAATTGCCGCCGAAGACCCAGACGTGCCGCCCCTTGGTACTGGCCGCCCCAAGCCCCTGCTTCTTTAGCTGGTGCCTGGAGCCGGCCCTGCGTCCATCAGCCCAGGGGCACCGGGCTGCAGCCCGCACCCCAGGCTGCTGGAGGGGATGGGAGCAGGGGGCTCGCAGCTGCTCCAGCTTCTCCCCCCACCAGCTCCAGGGCCGGCTCCCGGCAGGAGACTGGCCCGAGCCCAGCCGCCGCGAGCAGCAGCCGCCAGGGCACAGTCTGCGGGCTCAGGCCGCCGCTTCCGATCCGGGGCGGGACCAGGAGAAAAGGCTCCGCTGCCTGCCCAAAGCGCGAGGCCCCGCCCCTTTCCCCGGGAGTGGGCGGGACTACATCCCTTGACAGGCAGGTAACTTTCCACCCTCGTCCACGTGGTCCGGCAAGCCACCGCCCCCTCCCGGCCGGACTCCAGCCCCTTGGCTCGGATTGGCTGAAGGTTTACAGAGTCCTCGCCTATCTCCACAGCGATTGGTCGCTGTTGTAAACCGGGCACGCCCCCTTCGGGCTCCAGCTCCTCGCTCTGCCCCGGCTTGCAGTTTCCCTGGGCAGGCGGCTGGAGCGGGCCGGTACCGTCAGGCAGCTAACCATGATCCTATGTCCCCCGAGCACGGAGCGCCCCCGCGGAAACCAGTGCCAGCGGCTGCAGGGCCAGGTGAGCGCCAGTGCCCCCAGTGCCCCCCCCCCGCGGAAACCAGTGCCAGTGGCTGAAGGGCCTGGTGAGCGCCAGTGTCCCCAGTGCCCCCCCCCGAAACCAGTGCCAGCGGCTGCAGGGCCAGGTGAGCGCCAGTGCCCCCAGTGCCCCCCCCCCGCGGACACCAGTGCCAGTGGCTGCAGGGCCAGGCGAGCGCCAGTGCCCCCAGTGTCGTCCCCCCCCCCGAAACCAGTGCCCGTGGCTGCAGGGCCAGGTGAACCCCAGTGCCGCCCCCCCCCCGCGGAAGCCAGTGGCTGCAGGGCCAGGTGAACCCCAGTGCCCGCCCCCGCGGTAACCAGTGCCAGCGGCTGCAGGGCCAGGTGAGGACGCGGGTGACCTCCCGTCCCAGTTCGGGGCCCCCCGTCCCGCTGCGCGCAGAGCTGTGGAGACCTTCCGGCCTGCGGTGGCCCCCGCCCGCGTCTCCCGCTAATCGGCCCCTGTCCCGGCGGTGCGGGAGTCTGCGCCCAGCCGCTGGCCCCGGGAAAGTTGGGGACGGAGCCTGGAAGCTGCCGCGGGCACTTGGCCCCGGGGGGCGCTGGCCACCGGGGACCGTGTCCTCTCCTCGCCGCACGGCTTCGCTCAGCAGCGGTCCCGCGCCGGGCGCACGAGCCGCCCCGCTGCAGGTGCCGGGGCAGGAGCATCTCCCGAGCCCGGGGCAGGTTCTTTGTCCTGGGATGCTGATGCGAGTCCTCCCCATCACTGCCAATCAAAGTTGTTTTTCTCCTTTCCTGCCGCACTGTCCCGGCTGCCCGCCGGGGGCGCTGCGCCGGCGCTGCGGCTGGAGCGAGACAATGGAGCGGCCGGGCGCTCGGCCGGGCTCTGGGCAGGGGCAGGGGCCGGGAACCTGCTCGCTTCCCTCTGCTGCTCCGGGGGAGTCCCGGGGACTGGCCCTAGCGCAGGGCGGCCTTGCTGGAGCTCTCCCAGTGCCTGGCTCCCCGGAGTCGCCTCCAGCCTTCAGATTAAAGTGCGCCCGGCCCCCTCGCAGATCTCCAGTGCCCCACGCTGGACTTGCCCTGAGCCACGGAGCCTGCCCTGTTGCCTAGTCCTGACAGCAGCCCACGTGTGTGCTGTGTCCCGGGGCTGTGTCCTGCGGAACGTTTCTATTGGTACCAAGTGGGCCCTGCGGTGCACTAGCCTAGAGCTGGACTCTGCTGCTTCAGAACAGCGAGTCTGGGTCCGGTCTTCTGCCTGCTTACTGGTCAGTGAATCAGCCTTCTCCCCAGTACCTTGGGCATCTAGTGGGGTCGCTTCTAGAGTTACTCCCTGACACTGGAAAGGCTCTACCAGAGAGCCTGCAGCCACTCCTGGTAGACTGAAATTGCTACGCATGGTTAATGGATCTGGGAATATGGGATACCAAAGAGCCAGGGAGAGAAGTGGGGAGATGAAAGCGTCTCCAGAGCCACTTGTATGACGTGGGGTTTCTGGAGTCCTGGGCTGTGGAATTCTCTCTCACTGGAGCCATGGGGGGAGGAGGACTTCACCTTAGTACCAACAGGACAGGTGCAGAACACGCTCTGCCCCGACATGCATTGTTGGGCGGTTCAGTGAGTGCTCTCTGCAGACAGTTATTTACCCCTCATCACCCCTGTGCTGGGTCCCCTGGTGAAGTGGGTGTGAAGTGTCGTACACTCCCAAGAGGCCCGCAGTACCTGAACAGAGCTTACAGGCTTTTCAGCAGCCAGGGCGCTCCCTAATCCTGGCAGTGTGCCTGATGTGGGGAGAAGAGAACAAATCCCTTTTGCCCTGGCTTCCTATGCCTGCTCTTGGACATGGCACCCTGGGAAGATGGACATGAGTTGATTTAGGTTTAATTAATGTACAATTACCAGGCTCCACAGGCTTCTTCAAATGGGAACTTGTGGGGAGTGTCTGAATAGCTCCGGGTGACTTCCAAACCTCCAGGGGCGGGCTGGGCACTTCTCGGAGTCCAGGGGGGTCAGGAGCCGAGCAGAAAGCACAGACCCCTAGAAAGGGAGCGAGAGCGGTTTGCTGCAGCATGTGCTGCTCTGCATGCTGCTTCTCCTGCTGACGAATGACATCACTCTGCTTTCGGCTGAGCCAGAACTCCGCTCTGGCTTTGGGAGCTCAGCCCTGGAGCTAGTGGGAAGGGACTAAAGGCAGCAATGCAGGGGCCAAGCTGCAAGTGCAGTGCTTGGGATTATGGCCTCTGAGCCTGGGAAGTGGGGCCATAGCATTGTCACCAGGCTAAAAATGCACCAAAGCCGACTCTTTTGTGCCAGAGCTTAAGAAAGGGGAAGTTGGGGGAGGAGAGGGAAAGGCCCACCTAGTGGTGTGGAGCTGGGTAATTTTGCACTGTTGCTCCTCGCTGTCTCTGGTACAGAGAGCTGCTGGGCAGTAAAGGGGAACAGGAGCGTCTCAAAGAACTGCAGGAAAAGCCATTTAAGATTTGAAATAGTGAACTGAATCAGGAGAGCCTTGGCATGTACGCCTTACACCAGAACACCTGCACATCCTCCCCAGGGCCGGGGGAGACGCTTCAAGCTGCTGCTGCTGTCCTCAAACCTGCTGCATCCCCGAACTGCCATCCTCCCGGCACCTTCAGGGTGGCACGGCACTGCCAAGGGACACTGACTCCTGGAAGATTGAAAAGCCTCTAGGTCACTGTTTAAATGCTCCCCTGTATTGATGACTGAGGAATTCAAGGCTGTGTGCACTGGGCATTGTGGCTATCCTATGGGAATCCCATGGCTCATCAGCCCCTCTTCTAGTCTGTGTGGTAGATGCTCTGAAAAGTCTCTTTTCTCCCTCTCAGTTTTGGAGCTGTGAGCTGGGCAGGCAGCTGACTTGACTCTTCCTTGCATGCATCCTGTTCACAGAGGATTGGTCAGTGCCGCTTGGCTCAGCTGTTGATTGGCCGACCTCCCCTAGTGTGGAACAGGAAGGCTTTGGCTGCTTTGTACATTTCCATGTTGGTCAGCACCTGCCTTGGCAGGACTCTGGCCCCAGGAACAGAAGGCAGAGATGTGGTGAATTCAAATGAAGTGGCATCTGGGGACTGGACAAAACTCAGCCCCTGTCCTGAGGAGCTTACAGTCTATAAAACTGGAAAGCATCTGGTGTTCAGAGTGATGTACTCTAGCAGGGAGCAGAATGTCAATTAGCATTCAGCCTTTGAACTAATGTGAGAACCCCAGGCTCTTGGATCAGGCACTTGTCAGCCTATCAAAGGGGAGTACAATTTTGGAACGTCCTCTGGTCTGGCTTTAGCAAAAGATTTCTTCTGGGAATGTCAGGGAGGTGCCCTTGGGCAGGGTTGTGGGGTTCCTACCTTTTATTTATCCTGTGTCCCAGGTGTGCTTGCATGCAACCTAGCCTGAGGAGCTAACAGTAAATTTCTCCAGAGTGCAGCAGGCGGTAACCAACCCAGAGAGTTCACACAGCCACCATTATTTGCACATCTTGGTGGCTCCACCTTGGGTTTTGGATTTGACAAGAATGTAATGAGTAAGGTTGGCTAATAAATGAGCTCTGAGGAGGGTGGCCATGGGATTGGGAGGATGTTTCCCATGTAGGGCGCAGCATGAGAAAAGGTAGAGTTTGACCTTAGTGCCTGAATCGGGAAGGTGGCAGCCAGGCCAAAGATGAAGGTGGGGTGGAGTTGTGCAGGTCCCTGAAGGTGGGAATGCGGAGTTGAAATGTGACACAGATGGTGAAGAGAATCCAAGGTGGGGGTCGGGGAGAGAACTCCAGCTGGAATGCCGGTGTGAGACTCGGGGAAAGCTAAAGTAGCTGGATGGGACAGGGTTTGGGAGCGAGGGTAGAGAGGAAAGAGATGGATTTTGGAGCTGATGGGGAGAATCAACTGAAAGCATGGGTGAGTGTCTGGGACATGCTGACAGTGCTGTTGGGAGCGGGGGGGGGAGATGAGGAGCTCTTGTTTCTATGCTGAGTATGAGCTGGTGCTGGGAGAAGGCCATTCGCAAAGACCATCTCAAGTCCAGACTTGCATAGAGGGGCCGGACCGGATTAGAGAGCGAAACTGAAGCCGGAGAATGGATGAGGTATCCGGGAAGAGGCGATGAGGAAGGCCCCATTGGAGAGGGCTGGGACACTGGAGTATCCTGGGAAGGATGCGCAGCAAGGCGTCTGGGAATTAGGATCTCCAGTTGGAAGCAGTTTCCTTCTGCACCCAGTAGAAGCAGAGGGAGTAGAGAAGGGATAATTAATTGCCTCTCCGTCACATCTGCCCCGTGCTATAATTACCCACGTGCTTGGGAGTGTTTTAGTCTGTAAAGCCCCAGAACGGCCCAATGAGAGAGACTGCTGCATCCTGTGGTTGGGGCTGTGTTTGTACTTAGACGGGTTGCCACTGTAGGCAAAATCCTCTGCCCAGAAAGGAAGGGAATGCAAAGGCAGACTAGTAAAAGATTTTAATGGCAACCACTTTCTGACTGTCAGACTGACTTCATTTACAAGCCCCAGGACTACTTCCTAAAACACCACCCAGGCCAGCTTCACAGACAATCCAGGCAGCTTCTCCTGCCTCTTGCAGGATCACAACTAACCGGTATTGGAACTGAGCCAAGGGCACTGATGGATAACACCGAATAGAATCTGCCTTGCCTGCCTGCGGCCCCACTGACTTCTGCATTTCTAAAAGGAGCAAAAACATGTTTGCTGACAGGTTGTTTTTTGGAGTGTGGGAGGACCTGGAGATGTGCCGGGAGAAGGCATGTTGAGCAAGCTGGGGGTATTTCTGCTTACTCACTTTTCTGATCATTACTGTCTTCGAATAGCCTCTCAAAAGTCCCACTGTTCAAAGTGAAGTCTGGTTTGCGGCTCTAGGGCAAGCTGAATTGAAGCTCCAGCAGTGACTAGATTTCTTCCAATGCACAGGCAAAAGCGGGCTCCAAAGCTGCACATGCACTGCAGTCGTCCCCCCCCCCCCCCCCGAGTGAAATAATTTGCTGGGCCTGTGGTGTTGCCATTGTTCCCCACCAGAGGCCAGATCTAAGGAGCCCAGGGATGCTGGGGGGCTGCTGCACCCCTGGTGTGAAGTGGTTTCCGTCATATGCAGGGTTTACAGCAGTGATGTGCCGAGTCTTCACTTATTCACTCTAATTTAAGGTTTCGAGTGCCAGTCATACATTTTAATGTTTTTAGAAGGTCTCATTATAGACTTATAGAAAATATAACTAAACTATCGTATGTAAAGTAAATAAGGTTTTTAAAATGTTTAAGAAGCTTCATTTAAAATTAAATTAAAATGCAGAGCCCCCCGGACCGGTCGCCAGGACCCGGGCAGTGTGAGTGCCACTGAAAACCAGCTCACATGCCGCCTTCGGCACACGTGCCATAGGTTGCCTACTCCTGGTTTACTGTTTGGGTCAATGGCCCTCAGCACCCTGAAGGGGCACTGTGGATTTTTACAAGAGCAGTGATTAAAATGTGATGCACCTCTTTCCTCTGCCCTGAGCCTGGCTACCACTGCAGTGGCTTGTGGGAATCCCTGCTACAGGGGACCCCGAACTCACTGAGGCAGGGTTACGGAGCAGGAGAGAACCACTCAAAGAGCTCTTGGGAGTCATTGTGGATAGTTGCCCAGCGGCTAGAGAGAAGTAAATGCTGGGCAAAGAGCCCCCTTAGTGCTGGCTTATTCTCCCCTATCTAGGCTGATGGGCCTCATCCCCCCTGGGCCAGCTGCTCTGGGGAGCTGCTGAGGAGTGGCGCGGTCTGGCAGCTTGCAGCAGCAGCTGGAACAATAGGATAACTCACAGCGATAGCTGGGGCAACAGCCCGATACTTTCCTAGGCCTTTGTGTGGGACTGGAAATTCCTGGTCCCGTTTGGATCTCTTCCCAGGAGGATACAGCCAGAGCTTGTCTCAGGTAGCTGCAGAGTTTCACAGGACTCTGAAAGAGTCAACATATATTATTTGATCCCATAACTGCCTGGCAAAGCTGGCCTTCCTCCCCTAAGGAGACAGAATTCCCCTTGTCTGGGGAGTGCGCGCACCCAGAAGACTCAGCACAGATTTCTGGCTTGTTCTCCCCTGCTGCACACTGACCAGATGAGCCAGGCACCTCTTATTTATATCCACTGAGGGCGTTTGTCCCCCCGCAACCCTGCTGCGGGCAATGGCGCAAAACTGGGCTCAGACGTTGTTGCAAAGGTATTTGCAAGTGGGTAGTGCTCCCCCTGCCCTCAAAGAGATTGAGCTTGTCGTCTTGTCGCCCCAAAAGGGCAGGACTGTGGCAGGATTATGGGCTTCACTGGGAGAAGGATCTACAGCAAAGGCGCAAATGAATTTTCACTTAAGCTTTTGTCGCTATTGAGTCTTGCAATATTAAAGTACAGATAAATGAGCTAATGGAAAGAGAGTTCAGTTAGGTGACTGGTTGCTGATGCAGTCTGGCTCTTCCATCCCTCAATATTGCTGTCACTCTAACAGTTAAATAATAACCTTCTAGATCACTTAGAAGCTACATTCCAAGTTTTTGGACAAGCACAAGTTTGTAGATCTACTGGTGGCTGAAACAGTGGCTGCTAAAACTGGGTGGGAGTTAAGGGCGGGAAGGGAAAGCAAGGTGGAAGCTGGAATGACAGAATTTTTAAGGTCTTTAATCTCATTAGCCCCAGGGCTAAAGACACACAGGCTAGCTAGAAAATGGTCAGTATTCAATGGCATGCTGGGTTCACTTGGCTAACTTCAGGCACTCACTGCAGTATCACTCTAAGAGCTCTGGCCTACCAACCCCAAATGGTGCTGACGTATTGATCCCCTTTCCGTGGGGCCTACAGCTGAGAATACCGCTGACTGTTGGCAGAAAAGCGCTTGCTGTCTGTACCTGCCCAGCAGTGCCAGTTTGCGATCGGGGAGCAGCTGCTGTCCCGTGAGCTTCTAGCTGACGTGGGGGCAGCGAGAGAGTAGAATAAACTGCTTAGGGAAGAGGCTAATGTAGCACCAGGAGGGGGAGAGAACTAACTTTTCTGCAGTGCCCCTGTACTGGACGACACAGATAGGCCTGTCTTCTCCGGGCTAGTATCTACGTAGGATAGGTAACAAGCTTGTACTCTTGGTTTGCTGCAGCTGAGAGTGTGCTGCCTGGATTCCTGTGTAGGACCCAATCCTCCCACCTCCAGGAGCCCTGACGCTCAGCACAAGCTGGAAACGTGCCTCTGACCAACAGGTTAGAACCACTGCTTGGGCCCCTCGGCATTGCTGCTCCTCCCGTGGCTGGCCTGGGACTGGCTCTGTAAGCAGAAGGGAACAAACCAGTCCTCAGATGGTCTTCATGCCAAATGACTTGTGAAGACCAGAGGGAGCTGGGAGTTGGGGGAGGGGGCAAGTGCCTGCTTTCTTTGTCTAGCATGTACGTCCTCTGTTGCTTTCTTCTGTTCTGGTCACGCACCGTCCTTGTAAGGACCAGGAGTGTGTGTTGGCCTTCCTGAGGCTTCAGCTCCTGGCTGGAGAGAAGAACTCCACGGTCTGTAGCGGACTTGGTGGGGAAGGGGCTGCCCAGAGCTAACTAGCACTATGAGCTGAGTGAGTGTGAGCTCACAGTTTTGCAGGAGAGGGCTGGGGGGGAAACATCTCAGTGTTGACCTCTTCACTGCATGGTCTTGCCAAAAGAGCCAGCTCTCAGGCAGGTTCTGGTTGAGGATTGGCTTCCTCTTTAAACTCCCTAATGGGTCCTGTTGCTGCATGTAGCCAAGGGGGCTTGCAGAAGGGGGTGACTGGGGGAGGAGTGCTTCATTGCTAACTAAATAAGGCGAGAGGTTATGCCTGTCTTCAGACACCCACAGTAAAAGTAGTTGTGCCTCTCGCTTGTTGGGGGTGAGTGACCACGGTGCCCAGATGCTATGGTAACAGGTACATAAGAAAGAAACCTTTAGTCAGAAAGAAG